GGTACGCGGATGCGGGCGCAATTGTCGAGCATGGGGATTCCTTTGACAAGTTTAGCGTGGATGGTAGCTTGGATTTCGTCGACGATGTGGATGACATGGATGATCAACCAAGACCGCCAGAAGAACTCATCCCAATAGAAGACTCTTTTTGTTCTCCGGCACTAATTGAGTCTGCTATTAAGATGATTTCGGCTGACGGTTTAGCCGCAGCAAACAAATTAAGACAATTCGACGCAGGTGCGACTACTGGCCAAAGCAGCGCAATCGCTCCAGCTTTACCTGCTGACTTCATAAAAGACCTGAAGGACGAGTTTTCATGCGTGCACCAGGAGGCGGAGGACCTAAAAATAGGTTTCGGAGGCATGGGACGCTGCGTACAACTCAACACGAATTGCATTAATTCGTACGCAGGGGACTCCACTAAGCTGACACTCCAGGTCATGGATGGCTGGTTCAATAAAAATGCTTCTGCGTGTAATGCGCACGGCCGGCGCTTGCGATGCGCACAGGGCGATATCCATCAGTTTCGGGTCTTGGGCGCATGCGTAATCTTGTTCGTACTGGTAGATGAAGAAGGGCTCATATTTGACAGTCCCCACGAAACGCATCTGCTCGTGCAGGTGAAAGAGTCCCGGGAATTTGCCATGGTCAACTGGCATAGCTTGGAGAACCACTCCACTCGGCGCTGCTTTCCAGACTGGACAACAACAGGCCATAAAATATTAGAGGAATTAAGAACAAAGTTGAAATCAAAAGAATGCATGTTTTATTATCTTATACATATTAGATTTCGGCAACCCGCGCCCCAACCCTACCTCCACACTCTCGGAAAACACAAACGAGCACGCCAGAGGCAGCGAAATCGCACGTTTGCAGCGACACGAAGACGCCGCGCGCGGGGCGCTGCGAGCAGCGCTGAATGCCCCGGCACGGGGCGCCCTTCCGCAGCCCGCGGGGCCCCGAACGCCCCGGGCGGGCCGAGCTAGCACAGCGGGTGGGTCACGAAGCCCACCGGAGGTCCTCGGGCAGCGATTCCACGCTAAACGCCCACCATCGTCTAAGCCGCCCTAGACGATAGACTAACGCGTCCTTAGCGAATAAAGATCGACGGTCAGCGCATGTGACAGGACCAGCACGTTCGAACGTCAACGTGAATACTCGGGCTTGACTAATTAGCGAGATAGTAAGATCCGGGACGGGGAAGCAGCCTAATGGGGGTATCCCGAGAATATCGCCCCCTCGTTCTTCCCCCCTTGTCTAACCCTACTCTATTAATGGAGTGCCTCAGGCTCAGGAGATTCGCGCTCACCGAGCCTGAGACTTTTATAAGTCTTCCATAGAGCCGGCGACATCGTCTGTTTAGCGTTTGCTTAATTGCCAGTAA